GAATCCACATAGGCCTCCAAAATAGTTCCAAACTACCGAGGCAATATGTCCGTTGGCAAATAGGTGCTCAATAGACTCCACAGATGCCGAGGAGCAGCAAAAACACTTTGAGGGAAGTTGGAAGCCAAGCTTACCTAACCTATCTGGTAATGGTAGTCTTCTCAGAAACAATCTTAATATGAAGAATGAGACTTTCCAAGGAATCTGAGGATGCCAAATGTAAGTAAAAGCCATTGACTTGTGTCGGGTCTGCCTGACGTCCCCACAGTAGCCCGGTTGATTGTTAGAGATGTTTTACTGCTTTTAATCCTAATTAGAAGACAAAATGTTTGTTTGAATAGTAGCTCTTGGGAAAAACTTTATTGGGGATTTTTAACACAATTTTTTCTCACCACCTTTATTATTTTTTGAACTACTTTTTTATCTCATGAATATCATCATAAAATCTACTGTAGTAAAAGTAACTATTTTCCCAGAAGTTGCTTATATGTGCCTGATAGTGTTTGTGCTTGGGATTTGAGGTCTGCCCACTGTAAATGAGTAAATGACATAATTCCAGACCTCAGCTACCTATTTTGGTTGCGTAACCAATTAGCTCACAAACACCCAAGTGTAGTTAATTTATTGGATACATTCTACAGGAGATTGGAACGATGATCGCACTTGGTAAGGTTGCCAATTTGAAAATTCTAACACTTTGATTTTTCTTTAAAATGTAAGACCGAAATTCAATCGTGTATATTGAACCTTCCCAAGTCCTTTTTTCGAAAAAAAAAACCTTCCCAAGTCCTAAATTTTATCTGCGAGAAAAGTCTGATGTTCAAAGCCATACTATGCGAACAATTATGATTAATCACACTTTGCCTGGGGTGTTGTTGGAAAAATAACCAAATACATATTTGGTAAATGAGTTTTTTAGATGTTTGTCTCAAACTTTACTGTAACTTAATGTAAAAGTTGAAGGAAAAAATTTTGAAATGTGTAAATTTTTTGGATATTTTAAAGTGTGTAGTTTAAAAATTGGGAAAATCATTCAAAACATCTCTCACATTTTGTAAAATAACTTTTTTGTGTTCCCCATTTTTAAAAATATAATTTTACGTCCCTTACAAATTTGCATTGGTCAAATTTGGTTCCTACATAGGTTTCCGACTAATTTTTGTTCGAAATTCACCACGTGCCTTGCACGTGATCATATTTTAAAGACAAAATTGTCAAATCAAATTTGATATAATTCGATTTATCACATTTCATAAAATAAATTTTTTCGTCCCTTACATTTCACAAAATGAATTTTTTCATCCTTCACATTTTTCAAAATGAATTTTTTCATCTTTTATTGATCATGTGTGTGAATAATTTTTTTTTATCTTAAATATTATCGAGTGTATATATCGAATTAAATTTGGACAGAAAAAATAAACAAAAGAAAAGTATGACAAAAAGAAATGAGTGATTGGCACTATTAAATTTTAAGACAATCACAAGACAAGTAATTTAACTGTTGGTCTTAAAAGTGTCAAATAGAAATTCAGATTTAAACTGAAATTTGTTAGCACAATTATAGAATTCAAGTTAGGACCCATTAATTAGATGACCTTATTATACAACTCAATAAATAAATTATTTTACCAAAAGAGAAAGGTCACAAATATTGAATAGGTTCAAATGGTGAAATCATATAAATATATACATGGGTTTCAAACAAAATTATTAGCTTAAAACCCCTATATATATATATATATATATATATATATATATATCTATTGAATAGCATGTGTATAACTACGATTAGTATATTTAGATGAAATTCAATAGAGATAAATTACATGTTATTCGTATTGTTCAGGTAAAATCAAATAGACATATACGTGGGTTTATAGAAAAAAAGCTATTCATACACATGATCAATGGGGGATGAAAAAATTCATTTTGAAAAATGTGAGGGATGGAAAAATTCATTTTTTATAATGTGAGGAACGAAACAATTCATTTTGTAAAATGTTAGGAATGAAAAAATTCATTTTGTGAAATGTGAGGGACTATGAATCAAATTATGTAAAAATTTGATTTGACAATTTTGCCCTTAAAAAATGATCACATGCAAGTCACATGGTGGATTCCGGCCAAAAACTAGTCGGAAACCTAGGTAGGGATCAAATTTGGTCAATGTGAATTTATAAGGGACGTAAAATTATACTTTTAAAAGTGGGGGACGAAAAAGTTATCCTGTAAAATGTGAAAATGTGATGGACGTTTTGAACGATTTTCCCTTAAAAATTTTGAAGAGTTTTTTTAGCTTACTATAGCTAAAGTTGTTAAAAAAACTTATAAAAGACAAATTTAACCAAAAACTCCTTTGCCAAACAGGTCCCAAGTTTTTGCTTAATTATTTAGCAGTAAATGACCTTCAAAAATCCTCCAACCATTTTACTAAAATCAAAATGGTCCCTCTTCTTTAATTTTGGCTAGTTTGGTCCTTCAGCTAAATATTTGTAACCACTTACAACCTTTAGGCAGTGGTAAATAGCCATCAACTTGGAACTTTCTCCATGATTGTGCTTCAGGGGATGGACAAATTTGCTTGTTGTGTCCAACTTGTTGACAGAAAAGGCATTTCACAATTTTTTTTTTTAACCTGCAAAAATATAAGTACCCATTCATATATTACATTCTCATCACAGCTGTAGCTAGCAATAGTACATGCATGTCAATCTGTTTACCTTTTCAGGGGCTCCATGAACATCTGTAAATACTCTGTGATTGGCAACTAAAATCAAGTTTTCAGGAACAACTTTAGATGTTACAATATTCAGAAGTTGAATATTCAGGCACCAGGACATCTGAAGTTGAAACAGTTGGCTGCTGAAATACCCCAAGATCCCCAATTTTGCATGCTTTGCCTTTTGATTTCCTTAGTTTCCATAACCAATAAGACCAACAAAATGTTTGTTGCCCATTTTGCCCAGAGTTAAATCGATCAAATTTTTAAAAAAGTTTGAAAATTTAGGTGGCGCCACCATATAAGTTTGCAGGTGGTTACAAATATTTATTAGTTAGAGAACTAATCTGGCCAAAATTAAAGAAGAAGGGCCATTTTGGTTTTAGTAAAATAGCTTGAGGATTTTTGAGGTCATTTGCTTGTAGTTGTATTGGAACCAAATTTTCGACAGTTTTCCTATTTAACAGTGGGTGTTTTATTAAGTAATTATTTGTTCGATAATGTCTTTTTCTCAAGGTCAAGTAGGTTATAAATAGGGTATCAATTAGAGTATTTTCATAAAAGAGTATTGTGGCGAGATTTTCTTCCTCTTTTTGATTTATTAATAAAGTTATTATTGTGAGTTGAGTGATTTAATAAAGTTATTTATTTACTCTCTTCTCCCACGTATATTTTGTGAGTGATTTTTATCCTTCAATAATTTTGTGGACATTGATACTACTAGAACTCATAAATTTGAGATGGCAATTGGTCTCAAAATCAGCCTACGATGTTAGTTTTGGGTGCAGTTAGTATTAGATGTCTTCCACTGTTGGAATTTGAGCACAAAATTTATTCGAAAACAACTAGTTGATTGAGTAAGGTCGTGAGATTGGTCATGGAGCATTTAGTTGGTGAAAATTTGACCAAAATTAGTTCAAGATTGTTAAATTGATTGTGGGTGTTGAGATTGAGCTCACAGAAAAATCTTATTAGAGTTGGAAGGATTTAATTGGCTTATTAGCTGGGGAGGCCCGAAAATTTAGGGAAAAGGTGAAGAAGAACAATTTGCTCAAGTATGTGAATTGTAAATGATGGATTATGGAATTTAGTTAAGGACTAACTCCACTTAGCATCTCCGAACTTATATAGGCTTTCTCACTTTATATCCTAAATTTTAATTTTGAACATTTTGCACCTTAAATTCTTAGTTTTGGACACTTTATGTCCCAGGCTCTCAAGTTTATCTCATTTAAATCCAATAAATGATAACTTTAGTAAAATTAGCGATACACAGGACCCAACAAATCAATATTGACAATGTGTCAAAAGAGTCAAAAGGTGCCAAGGTATCATAGCAAAAATAATACATATATTTATACCATCTTCTGTCTCATTAATTTTGTTAACAATATTAGTAATTGGGTTTATAGAAATCAGTGACAATGTATTGAAAATGATAAAAAAAAAAAAAAAAAAAGGGTGAGGAATCGCAGTTAGAACAAATGGTACATTATCATTAATTTTCACCATCCTTTATTTCGTTCATTTTGCAAATGTAATTATTGATTGGATTTTAATAAGAGAAACCTGAGAGTTCAGGGTATAAAGTGTCCAAAATTAAGAGTTTTGGGTATAAAGCATCCAAAATTAAAGTTTAAAATCTAAAGTGAAAAAATAATATAAAATCAAGGGTGCAAAGTGGATTTTTCGCAAGTTATTTTTCATAAAAGTAGATAGAAGTAGTCAGAGTTTAGCTAGCAGTAGTGGTATTTTTGGTATAGCAGGCTCCCTACTCTTGTGTACATCCGAGCACTATTCAATAAATATATTTTTACCTAATAAAAACCAATTATTTGTTTAAACAGAAATCTGAATCTTATATGTAACTAATCAAATGAAAATTGCCAATGATATTATTTTCTTTTTACTCAACTCAAGGACAATTCAAAAGCTGGAATTTTCTCTCCCGGGTGAGAGTTAAATTTTCTCTCTCTTGGGAAGTGTGCAAATCTTCCTCCCTAGGAGGCTTCTGAAATACCCTGTCCGAAACAAGGAAACCCACCAAATTTCAATCTCACCTGGAAGACAACAAAGCCCATTACATTAACTTGAAAGCTTTCCGACAGCTTTAAGAGGAAGCACTAAAGACAAAGACAAGATCTTACCCTCAGTTTTGGTTTGGTGGAGACAAAAACAAAGTACACTAGAGGGAGCACCATTCACACCTGCTCGTGCACCCCAGACAGATGACTCTCTGATTTTTTGCAAAGCTGAAAAGGATCAAGCTGAAGAGGTGATGAAGATTTTGGAAACTTATGAACAAGGCTCAGGACAAATGATCAACATGGAAAAGTCTTCAGCCTTCTTTAGCAAGAATGTGGATCAGGAGGAACAAAAAGAAATCTGCAGCAGACTAGGAAATATACAGGTGGTACATCAAGGGAAGTACTTGGGATTGCTTATGGTCATTACCAGAACCAAGGACCAGATTTTTGGTTTTGTCAGAGACAAATGTCAGAAAACAGTCTCTAACTGGTGCAACAAGAAGCTCTCCCAAGCAGCAAAGGAGGTTTTACTGAAAGCTATAACCATGGCAATGTCATGTTTCAAGCTTCCAGTGAAACTATGCAAAGACATACATGCTTTAATGGCAAGATTTTGGTGGGGAGAAGATAATGGAAAAAGAAAAGTGCATTGGTGTTCATGAAAAAGGATGGCAACGGGAAAGGAAAAGGGTGGCTTAGGATTTAAAGACTTACAAGGCTTTAATAAAGCTTTGTTGGGAAAACAAATATGGAGGCTTCTCACCTGCCCAAACCTGCTCTTGAGCAAGGTGATGAAATCCAAGTATTATCCAAAGGAGACACCTCTAAGCTGTGAAGCAAAAGGCAACTCCTCCTGGATATGGAAAAGCATGATGGGAGCAAGAGAGGAGGTAAGGAGAGGAGCAAGGAAGAGAATAGGCAATGGCAAGGGTACCAGAATTTGGGAGGATGCTTGGATCCAGGATAGCAAAGACGCCAAAGTACAGTCCCCAAAACCCCTAGATTGTAAGATTAGTAGAGTGAGTGAACTGATTTCCAACTTTAGATGGAACTCACCTCTAATTTTCAGGACCTTTAATCCAAGAGAAGCGGGACAAATACTTAAAATCCCCATAAGCCTTATTGGTAGACCCGACTGCTATGTTTGGAGCCATAGTGAGAATGGTCAATACTCGGTTAGCTCAGCATATGAAGCAATTACAAGAGAGAACAAACAGCTGGAAGTACACAGAAGAGATAAGGGAGAGACAAGCTGGGAAAGAGGAAGTGGGAAGGCTTGGAAACAGTTATGGAAGATGAACATAAAGCACAAACAAAAGCTGTTCGTTTGGAGATGCCTGAACCATGCTTTGCCAAGTAGGGAAGCAATACATAACCGAACAGGTAAAGGTGATATAATCAGCAAGAGATGTGGGGAAAACAGTGAAACAGTGGAACACATATTTTTCCATTGCAAACAGGTACAAATGGTTTGGCGGATGGCACCCCTCCAGTGGGATGGACTTAAGGAGTACACTGCTGATTTCAGGAGATGGTGGAATATGCTAATGGAAGCTCACACGCGAAAGGATGGAAGGGAACACATAGCCTTAACCGTGGAAATACTTTGGCAGATTTGGAAAGCCAGGAAAGAAGCGGAATTTGAAGAGAGGGATAGCTAGGCATCCAATGGAGGTGATCAGGAAAGCAGTCAAGGACTGGGAGGAGTATCACCAATCACAACAGACCGAACATCTGATGAGCATCTCAGAAATAGAAATAGCACAAGATGAGGAGGAAAGGGTGGGGGAGGATGAAAACTTGCTGAACATTAGTGTGGAACTGGGACAACACGTAGAAGGACAAAATATGGGAATTGGAGTTGCAGCAAAAAACACCTTGGGCCAGAAATGTGAGGCTTGGATACTGAACGAGAGAAGCACAGGATCAGTAGTCCTGGACAATCTTTTGGCCATTAAACTGGCGCTGTGCAAACTAAGGAGAAAGGGTGGCAGTATATCAAGATCCAAACGCCATGCACTCAGGTCCTAAATTTGATACGGTATCAAGCTTCTACCAACCAACGACTAGCAACTCATCTAGAGGATATAAAAGATCTTTGCCTAATGTTTAGGAAATGCTCATTTGATAGAATGCCTGTTGAAATGAACAAACTCAGTGCAAAACTGAGTAGATTAGCTATGCATATATTTTGATGAGGAACTCAAAGCTCCTCAGTGGCCTAGTCCACTTTTGTAAAGTCAAATCTTGAGCCCTTGCTCAAACAATGTAGTGTTACTTCCTTATTATAAGAAATAAAATTTATATCGTTTCTGAAAAAAAAAAAAGGACAATTCAAATCTTACAAAGAAAAAAGAGAAGAGAAAGAAAGGGGATAGGGTTCGAGTCGTTTGAAGTCAAACCAAGAACCTCATGGTAACAAACTTGAGCTGGGTATTGGGTTGTTGGTGGTTCCTGGGCTTGGGCTTGAGGCCCCTGTTGATTGCGTGACATAATCCCCGAGGTCACCTTTCTGCTTTGGTCAATTGCTTTTGCAATCAATTAGCTCACATAACTTGGAAACTCGCAGGAATTGCATGTTTTTGCTAAGTATATATAATGACGATCTTTAGCACAAGCGAGCTCAGTATTAGCACAGCACAAACTACCGAAGAGTCCTTCAAAAAAACTACTGAGAGTTCCATCTACTACGAAGCCATGGCTGGTGAAGATGAGATGCCAAGAGTGAAGTTGGGAAGCCAAGGACTTGAGGTAAAGCCCATTTTTTACCATCTTGTTCAATTTTTTTTTTTTTATAGTTTTTTGACATGGGTTCTTGCTTTATTGTTAAATGTGTTAGGCTTCAATGCAAAACACCTGATGAATAATTTTGCTGTTTGGTATTGTACAGAAAATTTGTTTGTTAATTAGTTGTTTCCCATAATCCATCTTGATGAAGAAATGTCGGATGGACTAGTTAGAGTTCCTGATTGGAGAAAGTTCTTGGTTTGTCACACTTGGTATACGCAGGCCATGGCAATAGAAATGCAATTGCAAAAGAAAACCAATTTACTTAGTAGAATATTTCTGAAGATTTCTCATAAATGTGAATGAATCCTTCAACCTCCTTGTTTATCTGTTGATTTGTTTAGTATTTGTTCTCACTTCTGTAATTTTTTATTTGCGGTTTCAGGTTTCAAGAATTGGATTTGGCTGTATGGGCCTAACTGGAATCTACAATTCTCCAGTACCAGAGGAGGATGGAATTGCAATACTCAAGGAGGCTTATTACCAAGGAGTTACATTTTGGGATACCTCAGATGTATATGGAGCAGAACATGCTAACGAATACTTGGTTGGAAAGGTAATTCTATGCTAATCAACGTTGATAAAAAGTTTGTTATTGTAATACTAGTATGATAGTGATATTGAAGGCCGTAATGAAGAACTCCAATTAGCTTCACCTTTTTTCCTGCTTAAATGATTCCGCTGTGGAGAATCACTGAGCGCCTATGCTTGTCATAACTCATGTGCTTCTATGATCAGCTTCGTTTGAGTTCACTTTTTATACTTTCTTGTGTTTATTCAAACAAAAAAAAAAACAAGTGACATTTTTCGAAGCTGAATTCGAGATTTCCAGTGTAAAAGCAGACTAGTAATTGGCTAGCTATTGATGAAATCAGGTTGAAAGTTGAGACCTATGGGAGAAAACAAGAAAAGCTTCAGAAATCATGTTTCTTTGTCTTTTATTTTTTTTTTTTGTACTGCAACTCGGATCCATTATACATGTAATAATAACATATGATCACCTTAGCTTGAAATTTTGAAAGAGAACAATCAATAGCTGTATCCAAGAGGACTGCATTTTCAGGGCAAACATGAAGATTCTTATAATTTCGAACAATAAATTGCAAAATTATACCAACTTATCACCTTGAATGGCGATGTTTGCCTCGTTTGATTTCCTTGATACGTAGTAGGTTGCCATTTGGATAATAGAAAAGAACAATACAAGGAGCTAAGATTTTAGGAACATGAATTATCAGTTTGATTTTCTTTCATATACGGTTAATGTGATTTTCCCAAGTTATCAGCTTCCTTAGACTATATATATTGGTAATACTTCTGCTTGCTAAATCTATCTTCATCAGAGTAGAATTGCACACCGAGATTGAAAGAGGAGGCTTTTGCCTTTCTAAGAAAATTTTTTTTTTCTTTCTTTGGTTTTCGTTTTCCTCAGGTGGGATCTTAGGTTTTGAACTGTAAAAAGATGAAACGAAGTCTTCATTTTGCAATTTTAGAGTTTCCATATGATCAATGTAATCCAATTCTTGCAGGCATTGAAGCAACTGCCTCGCGAAAAAGTCCAGTTAGCTACAAAGTTCGGTGTGTTTAAAATTGAGCCCACAAAAGTAACAGTAAAAGGCACTCCTGAATATGTTCGCTCCTGCTGTGAGAATAGCTTGAAGCGCCTTCAAGTGGACTACATAGATCTCTATTATATACATCGAATAGACACTGCAGTACCGATTGAAGAAACTGTGAGTGTTTGATCCACTCCTCCTGCTCTGTCTGACTTGTTAAGAGAAAATCTCTTGCCCATTTTTCCTTCATATTACATTTTGAGGCCCATGATTGATATTTTTGATCAATGAAGGCACGTGTTTACTAAGAAATGTATTAGTGGTTCTCTTACGGTATTGTGCTTGTGCTGATGAATAACTCTACTTCCTCTGTTGCAGATGGGAGAGCTTAAAAAATTAGTTGAAGAAGGTAAAATTAAGTACATTGGATTATCTGAAGCTAGCCCAGATACTATAAGGAGGGCACATGCTGTTCATCCTATCACTGCTTTGCAACAGGAATATTCCCTATGGACCCGTGACATCGAGCCAGAGTTGCTACCTCTCTGCAGGTTACTGAAAAATTTTGTGATCATTTTTGTCTCATGACTCGCCCTATTCTATGAATATGCATTTTGATAAGAAGGTCATGCTGCATCTACAGATGCTAGATTATAAGTTTATTTCCTTTTTGGTAGGCTTGTTCAATCATGGGGTTATAGTTGCAAGTTCTTATATCTCTTCTTTTTCCTTTGTAGTATAAGCTTTTCCCTTCTTTTCAACAGCTCTTTGAGTTTAGAACATTCTACTTTAATATTGAGTTTCTATATGCAGGGAACTTGGAATTGGGTTGGTTCCATATAGCCCTGTCGGTCGTGGTCTTTTTGCTGGCAAGGCTGTTGTTGAAAGCTTGCCTCAGAATAGCTTCTTGGTATGATTACGAAAGTCTATTTTCTATGCCTTTCTATTGCCTTTTCTTGAATTTGACGACTTGTATGGATTTATTCCCAATTCACTCATGGACGGACTACTTTAATTGTTTGTCTGCAGGAAACTCATCCAAGGTATACAGGAGGGAACTTCGAAAAGAACAAGACCATATATTTCCACTTAGATGCGTTGGCTAAAAAGCATGGATGCACTCCTGCCCAACTTGCAATTGCTTGGGTTCTTCATCAGGGTGAAGACATTGTACCCATTCCTGGTAAGCTCGATCAGAACAATTGTTTGTTTGATGCTACTAATTCACCTATCATTCGTTAAGAACGTTAGGCAGGTTCAGAACCACAAAAACTCCATCTGTTTTTCCCGTTGAGGGCATAAGTGAATCTTTGAACTCT